TTTTTTTTTTAGCACAAATATTATTTAAGTGCCCATCATCAAAACCTGGTGGAATATCATTTCATGAACATAAGTCTTTCCCCCAGTATCACCATTACTAATCTAATGTTCACTGGGATTTTCTTTCATTTCTTAGGGCCCAATTTGTTTATTTCTTTCCAAAATTCTTGTGGGTTGCTACTTTTTAACTGATCCAGCTGTAATGCTTGTCCTCTTCTGAGCTGCCGTTCTTAGACTCGTATACTCTTATACTCTCTCTCTTATATATAGGTCTATTGGTTCTTACATTTTAAGAATGTAGTGTGTATGTAGTATTGTGAGTACTTTAACAGCATTACCTCACTAGCAGCCATTCTTCGGACTTCGTCTGGTCCCAGCTCTGAAAGGATGATCACATGAAAAAGAAGCCGATTTAGCTCATCACACAGGCTCAAATATACATGAACTATACAATAATGTGGTGAAGATGTCTTACCTCTGATCGGCCCGAGCGCTGCATCTTTGGCTAACGACGTGAGATCACTTCCTGAATATCCTGCAGTTTTTCTATCAAGTTACATATCCGGGAATTAATGCAAGTAAACACACAAATAATGCTGTAAAGGCAGTATGTGAATATGAAACTCACTTGGCAAGAGAAGAGAGCTCATTTTTGCTCAGTGGACTCCCTTGTTTTTCCAAAAGATTTTTCAGCAGCGTGAATCTTGTCTGGAGGGACAAGAGTTACATCCTATAACTCAGGGAACTTAAAAAATGTTGCACCATTCACATTTCAAAGCTAACAAAGATCAGTGATCACAGTAATGAACTGTGAGATTGGTTCCACAGTTAATACCTCATCATCCGGCAAAGCCACATAAACCCTTTTTGCAAAGCGCCTGTGGGATTAACACAAGAGAAAAAACTGCAATAGCTTGTACAAAAAGAAATAAATGATAATTGTGCAGCATGTGGAGTAGAATCACAGACCTCAGTGCTGCGTCATCGAGCTCCTGAGGCCTGTTGGTCGCTCCCATTACAAGCACCCTGTCATCTCCTCCGGACTGCACCTGGAACAAAGAAGCACCGTTGTGAAAATAACACCAGCGCTCTCTGAGATAACAGTGACTTCAACAGTCTAAAGCGGGTTCATGATCAAATTTCAGAGGCTGTAGAGCGACAGCTGCTGCTGCTCTTACCCCGTCAAACTCTATGAGGAACTCGGTTTTTAATCGACGAGAGGCATCATGTTCTCCCTCCCTTCTTTCACAGAGCAGGCTGTCAACTTCATCTGAAAATAAGATTAATTCAAAACAATTTAAGAGGGATAAAGGTTGGTGTTTGGGTCACATTTAGTCCACAAATCGAGAAATACAAACCGATAAAGATGACAGAGGGCTGTAATTCTCTGGCGACTGCAAACAGTGCTCGTACAAGCTTCTCGCCCTCTCCCACCTGTCATGGTGAAGACAGGAAAGGTTAAAAAAAAAATCTACACTAAATTTAGTGAACTGTGGAGAGCTACTACAGAAAAAAATATAACTTTAAGTGTTTTCTTACATATTTTGAGGTCAAACTGGCAGCGCTGATGTTGAAGAATGTGGCATTTGACTCGGCTGCGACTGCTTTGGCCTTTTGAGAGGAAGTAACAGCTGTGATTCAACTGATAATGCTGAAGCCAAACTATCATCAGCTATATGCAAATCATAACGCACAGTCTTGGTTGTCTGGGTTGGAAAGAACACTCAACTTACCAGCATGGTTTTACCATTTCCAGGCGGGCCAAATAAAAGCAAGCCACGTGCCGGAGCCCTCAGGCCAGTAAAGAGCTGAGGGACAAAATGTAAAGAAAGCATTAAAGCTAGGGTAGCTAATGTTGGAGAAAGCAGCAAGAGACAGCTTGTCTTTGAAGATATCCAACCATATTTGAACCACCATGTTCCTACAGTAGCCCAGAATGGACAAACCAAACACTGTCTCTAGATAGGGTCTTTTATCTCAAGTTTTGAAGTCATCGTTGTTTCTCCTACATGCTTGAAACGGGAGGATACGGTGAGGGTGTTGCAATCAGCAACTAGACCTCTAGATGCCACTGAACCCTACACACAGCTGGAATATAGCAATCAGAGACAAACTGTAAGCGATCACCTCTGGTCTTAAGGCAGGGAGGATGACGATCTCTTGGAGCGCTTGCTTGGCCAGTTCCTGTCCCGCAACGTCTTCAAAGGATACAGACGCTCCACTGCAGTGAACACAGAAAGAAACTTTAACTACAGCATAGAAATCCACTAACAGAAAAAAGGAACAGGTGTTGTGTGATACTGCTTTTAAATACCTGTCAACAATTTCATTTATAATCAAGTTGGCCAGTTTGCTGTCCACATTCTTGAAATTTTTCATATCCCTCTTTAGGGGTTGTTTCACAGCTGAAGGTTTTCCATTTTGAGCTTTTCCCGTCCGTGGGGTCACCTTAACGGGGGCAAAAATATCCAGAAAGCATTTACAGGCCGCACGATTAATCGGAATACTATCAAAATGACAACATGGCCAAGTGCAATATCCAAACTGCAGAAGCAGGAAGGTAAAATGTGTAACAGCGTTATAATAAAGCAGAGAATCCCTGGCTTATAAATCTTCATCTACACATGTAAGAACACATTTGGTTCACACACAAATGTCACATCATCATGAGTTTAGGTTTTCTTTTGGGGAAGTTAAAACTGTGATGCAAAAAACAACATCCCCATTAATAACAAATCATATCAAAATCTCAATATCCATCAAAACAATCACAATAAGATTTGCCTAATCAGAAATAGACATAACATACAACTAAATCACACAATCACCTTTGGATCACTGGGTTTAGACGGGGGTCTGACAGCAGTGGAGGGCCGGACGTTGGTGGACACAGCTCGCACCGCAGGCTGGCTTTTAGGTACAGACTTTGGTTGTGGAAGAACATGATTTGAGTTCTTCTGGGGGTCACTCCTCCTCTTAGACGCCAGTGTTTTCTCTGCAACACAAGATTCAAGAGGGTTCATTATCATACGTACAGTAGAAACACAAGGCGAGTATACGCACAATGAAAATCTTACTTTGCCTACAAGAACAGTATTGATCTGCTGCATCATCTCAGACACCAACGTAATCATGTCAGACAAACCAAGACGCCTCACTCACCTAACAGGGAAAGCCTATCTCTAGCCATGGTGAGATTGTTGACCATTTTGTCCTGAAGTCTCTTTGCTCGGTCATATTGCTCTCCTGTGAATAAAAACAACAACAGGGAGGTTAAAGCATGTCAACACTATGCACACCATGTATGTGTTTTTGTTTGTTTGCATTATTACCTGCTTGCCCTGTCAGCTCTACAGCTATTCCCCTTTCAAGCTCAGCAATCCCCTTCTTGTACCACATCACAGCCTGCTCCTTTTCTCCTGTCAGCACAGAGAGGAGGGTTTGTTGTTGTTTGTTGTTGTTTGTTTGTTTACAACAGGGTGTGTCCCAAAAAAACATCTCATAATAACTCCATGAAAACCAATAAACAAACCTGTGTCATCTTCATCGATCCTCAACGCCTTGGAGATGTATTCAAACGCCTGTTTGTGGTAGTTTTTAATAACTTCTCCGTTGTCTTTGCTTCTACTTGCGTTCATTTTCACTCTTTTCCTCGTTTTCTGCTGTTAGCTCGGAGTTAGTTCACTTATTGAGGAGGGCGCGGTCAAATCACAGTTATAATCGGGTCAATATGAAAGTGTTGAGGTCTATAAAACAACCATTTTTGCTACATATGTTACAATTATTATTCTGCAGCCGTCAAAACAAAAACATCTCCATCGCTAGCTTCTGCTTCCGCTCTCTTCTTCCTCGGATCGATTTCCGGCAGACTGCACGCTGCGGGGCGCACTGCTGCCCTCTGGCGGAATTCAACAGAACTACATCAACAGACCGGTAAAGGTTGAGCACTGCGAAGGTTTTATGTTAGAAATGTAAAGTTTTGCGTCTCAAGCATCTAGAAACGGCCGAGTACTAACTTGCATATGTTGGACAATTATGATTATTCGCATAATTTAACATAATAATACATTTTATTCCTACTGCACTCTTCAAAACAAAATTACAAAGTGCCTTACATGGCCAGAACCAGGATTAAAACATTTCAGGAGGCACTAGGCAACAAATAAAATCATAACAATTAAAATAATATAGAGGTGAGGCAGAATAAAATAGCCCCATCAGTAAAAAAATAAACACTAACAATAAAACAGATATTGCACAATTAACCGCACCAGGGCACATAATAAAACAGTTGAAATATACAAATAAAAGAATAAAATACCCATAGCTAATATATGATAATATGATAAACAATAATACTAATTATCAGACATTAACATCAGTTTGCTACAATAAATAAAAAGGCTTTTTAAAAAAGATGTTTTAAGAAGTGAGTTATATAGACAGTATTTCAGAAACTGCTTGGCTGATTGTTACAATAATGGAGGGGTTACTGAGGATGCTGAATCCATTTCTGACAATATCCAAATTGTCTGTATTACTGTGGATTCAATTTGTATGGGATCAGCTTGCTTGAACCCAATCATTCGGTCTCACTTGCACTGGTAACAAGCAACATAGAAGCCTGCAATGAGTCTTCTGACCAACTCATCAATTAATTTCCTTTCGAGGACCTCCTCATGAGAGACTGTATCAAAGGCACTCAGTCAATGTCAATGTTAATGAATACAACTACTTCCTTTCTCATTTGTCTAGCTGGATAAGGCCCACAAGTACCATCTGGTTCTCAGGAGATTTAATAAAACTTCTCCCTGGTGCACATTTTGAATTTGGTAATAAAACTGGTCAACAGCAAACAAAAATCTATAAATAAATCAATCAATAAAAGATGTCTCCGGAAACACCATACATGACCACACTGCAATAAATGACAATGATTCAGACATTACTATTCAAAACCATACACTCCTGACTATGACACAACATCTACAGAAGCTGAAACTTTTCTGAGGAATGCCTCCTTTCCAAAACTCGACATAACCCAGACCGAGAACTTGGAAAAACCCCTCACCCTTGACGAACTGAAGAAGGCTCTGCAACTCATGCACAACAAGTCCCCAGGTTCAGACGGATACCCAATTTTATAAACAATTCTGGTCACTTCTGGCCCTTTTATTTTTCAATATGATTTCAGAAATAGTTTTAAAGTTCCCCACCATATGAACCCTGTCTGTAAGAGAGAGGAATGTACATCTGAAGTTTCACATTTAATACTAAATGCAGCACTGAATAGCATAGCATTCAAGTCAGTAGAGGGGAAAAGGACAACAGTAGAGAAGCTATTAAAGAACGAAATAGTGCACAGGGAATGTCGAGGAAAAATGTAACCAAGAGAATCTAATTAATTATCAGAAGAAAAAGGCTCAAGCTTGAAGAGTAATTAAGAATAATAAATTAAATGCATGGAGGAGTTATTGTTCTTCTATAGGGAGGGATGTTAAGATAGGAGAGTTATGGTCCATGCAAGAAAATGAGTCGGGGGGGGAAGTATTTACTGAAATGTCAGTATTAGAGGATGATGGAGCAATAACAGATAAGGAAAAGGCACATTTATTGGGAAAGAAGTTTACCAGTGTGCATTCAAAAAGATAATGAGGAAAGTACCATGGATGCAGAAATCAGCATGAATGAACTATAGTGATTGTATTTAATGGAGTCAGAAATATTGCTACATATTTTATATTGTATTTATTGCTAATATTGCTATGGTCTCGCTCCCATATTTTCTATGTCTGTATATTGCTATTAGGGGAGGAAAGGAGAAGAAGTTTATATATGCCCAAAACCATTCCCCTCTAATTTGTCTTTAATTTTTTCCCCAGATGTTCATGGCAACCTGTATACTGTAGGTACCCTTTGAGGTTATTTTAATAGCTTTTGACTGCATATAAGAGAGAAAAGAGGATTATTTTCTCAAGACTGTAGAGGACGTTCACTAACTTTCTATATAAAACTAATAACACATCCTAGAATGGACGTTTGATCTAACATGTTATATTTTCCCATCTCACACGTTGCATCTATCAGTTAAAAAAGCAAAAAGATCAATTTACAAACCTCCAGACACAGGATCAACTATGGGTGTAAGAAAATATTTCAAAATGTTGTATCATGATATTTTGTTTTGTGATATTGTATTGATTAAACCCCCAACCGCTAAACAGCAGTGGTCTAAATATAAACTGAGGGCTGTGGTGCTGGATGTTACAGAGACTGTGATCAATACAAATGCAGATCCCACTATTCTGGTTGCCTGAAAAAGAAAGTAAAGATTGTATACATATGTTGGTGTGTTCTTTATACTAGGGCAAATCTTTTAAAACAATATCACAATATGCAATTGCCTTGCTTGTTGTCTTCCTGTCTACATATGTTATTGTTTATGCTTATATATCTGTACATAGTAATTTATCTGCATTTTTTTATCTTGGTTATGCTTTTTTGTGTATGTACATTGAGAAACCATCAAATTCCTCATCTGTGTACACATACCTGGCCAATAAAAGTGATTCTGATTCTGATAACAGTAGCAATATATTGAATCATAACCTCTGTATCGTGATGTGTATCGCCAGATTCTTGCCAACACACAGCCCTGGGATCAACAATGAGAAAAAGACTTTGCATCTGTCCTTTCAACAGTCTTAAAGTACTGAGATGACTGTCCTCAAGATCTTTTTTTAAATACAGAAAACATGGGTTTACCTCTCTACACTGAGCTGAGGCAGCTCAGGAGCACTTTCAGGTACAGACTGACCCAGCCCCAAGCCTCAAAGCGGTTTCATCAGCATCTAGACTCCACAACACCCCCACAGCTCCAGTACCTCTAACCCTCCCGCAGACCAAGACTGGTTCTAAAACTCCTAACCTACAACGCACAAGGCCTTTTGCAATCCCTATTTATTATTTATTTCCACTTTTAGCTAGTTCTGAGTAAGTTTTAGTTTTTATAGTTTAAAGTCAAGTTAATTTCTGCGCTCCATATTTTGGCAGCTCATGTCCTACTTGAAACAATGCATAGTGTGTATACTTTCCATTTCAAATACGTTTTTATATCTTCTAATATACAGAATCAGGAATCAGAAAATACTTTAATAATGCCCAGGGGGAAAATTACTTAAAATGACTTAAGTATAACACTTAGTAATATTTTTATTGTGATTTCTTTGTTTCTGTTTTTGCACTAAAAACTTTTGCCCTCAAGCCCTGAATTCCTCCCTAGAGGGATAACAAAGGAATGATCTTCTTATATTGTACGTTTTGCTTAGCCATTTAAAATAGGCCTATGATGTATAAACTGATAATAATTCTTACCTTTTAAGGTAATCGCAAACACCACAAGCCAGATTAACTTCAGCTGACCAGCCTCTCATCTGCTGCTTCCATCGCCAACAACTCGGTAGCCGCTCACCGCTGACGGGGAGACGCAAATTTCATAATCAAACGATCATCTCAGCAACGCCACGCCCCCGCGTTTTAGTTCATCCTCACCAAATCACAGGTTGGCGTGGTTCAATCGAGGCGACCCATCAAAAGCGCGCCGACGTCCACTCCAACCGTCCAAGAGACGTCACTCATCTGGGCCGACGAGAGACGACCAACTATAATCTTCGCCCGATCAACGACTGTGACAAAGCTCCTGGCTCTCGCTTTATTGCTCCTCTGGTTGTTTTAAAATCGTGGCAGCAAGTGCAGTAGATTTGTGCCTTGTCCCCCCCCCCCTCTCTCCTCCGATAGCATCGCCCCGACTTTGTTGCAAAAAACCTGAACGTTAACGCGCCGCTATTAACTTGTAAACGGTAGAACACAAACGGGCCAAGCTGACGGAAGCTCGTTAGCCTGTTAGACTCAGCTGTCGAGCTGGCCGCCTTTGTCTCAAACCAGGCGTTTGTTGTCTTCTCTCTGGAGCCTTAACGCTTTGACTCCGGCGTATACATTTTCCACTTTTTTTTTTAATTGTATTTTTTTTCGCCTGACAAAAGAGCTAAGCAAACCAAGATAGGCGGCTTGGGAACCAAGATGTCGAACCGAGTGGTGTGCAGAGAAGCAAGTCACGCCGGGAGCTGGTACTCTGCTTCGGGTAACTGTCAACAGCACCGTCCGCGGTCGCAACCTGAATGCAAGCTGGCTGTTTTTTTTTGTTGTTTGTTTGTTTGTTTTTTTCACATGGCAGCGTGTTTTTTATGGGTTTTATTTCACATAACTGTCATTATCTTGACGTTAGGAGCTGTCTGAATCGTGGCTTTACGGTGAGGCGGTGAGAGCTAACGTTTAGCTGGTATCGACTCCCTCATCTCTGTTATCCCATTTGCTGCATGGTTGGTTTTGAGCTTATTCAGCACTCACTCCAACCGATGGTCGATGGAAAATGTCTCAAAACAAACTGACAAGCCGCTGATCCGCGTTCATTTCCAACAAAACACTCGCTAACTTGGTTTAATATCGCAGAACTTCTCGGCCTACATGCTGTCCTGGCTACATTTGACATTTTTTTTCCACAACAGCCTGCCAGCAACTGTTTTAACTCAAGCTGCCAGTATTGTTTTGGTCTGGTTGGTGTTTGAGTGAAGTGCAGAAATACTCCCTGCCATGAAACAAAGGACTGGGTAGGGCAGGGCTGAAAACTGAAGGTTCATGTTGCACCCCTTCCCCCATTTCACTAGCTGCGTGCTAGTTTCTTGTTATTAAACCCGCAAACCTGCTTGTTTTTTATCCCTTTTTAGTTGGCAGTACTGCATTCTTGGTAATAACCGACAGAGCATATACAGTAGGTAAACACTACCGATGTTTATGTACCATATAAGCAACAATAACACACAGACATAAGCTACAGCTGAAGGCTGAGCTAACGTGAATCTGCATTGAACCCGACGTCCTTCGTTTTTTTTTACTGAACTAATTATCCTGTTTTGGGTTTTTTTTCTTGCACATTTAATTATACAAGTTAGTGAGCTGTGTGTGTTTGATGTTGACACAGGGTTAAGCAGCTCTGGTAAAGACTAACACTGGTAGTTTGTCCCTGTATGGTGGTATGGTAACCACAGTCAGCAGGTTTAAGTCTGTTTTAAAGGTTTAATCTGGACCAGAAAGGTTTTAACTCCTCATGGATGGGTAATAACTGTCGGCAGAGGTTTGGTTATTATCTGTACAGAACATGTTGTGGACATGTTAAAGCTCTAGTTTATCTCCATTTCTCACACAATAAAATAACACTTACTAAATATACTAAATCAACCACTGTTGCCACACTTGGATTCACACCTTTGGGATTGTTACAGTGACACGTTGATATCAAAAATAACCTTGATTTCATTGGTCTATGCTTACAATTCATGTTTTTAGTGTTATTTGTCAGCCTGCTGTGTCATTCTTTCTCTTGTAAGGAAGCATAGATTGAGCAGTTTGCGGTTCCCCTTTAATGTAGTGATCTGAAGTATAATTATGTTTCAAATTGTGACGTTTTCTTTGTTTTTATTCTATCTTTTCAGGCTCCCAGCTGAACGCACAGCTAGAAGACTGGCTGTCCAAAGCACAGTCCACCATCAGACCTGCTAGAGCCATCATAGCGCCGTAAGCAAACGTTGACAAATGGAAGAAGAATACATGTTTGAAGGTGTCTGTGGTGCTGTCTTATTCTAACCTGACTTGTTTTCTCTTTGTTTGCAGACATGCCGGATATACCTACTGCGGTGCTTGTGCAGCACATGCCTACAAGCAGGTTGATCCCTCTGTTACGTGAGTCATTCAGTTTCTCTCTATTCAAGAAAATGCTTTGTGTGACTGTTTCTTATCTTCATTTTCCACACACAGGGTGAACAGATGTTGGTTTAGATAGTTGAGTATTGTGCCTTTTGTGAGCGGAGTGAGTGAGATGATGTTCTGTTGCTCTTCAGTCGTAGGGTGTTCATCCTGGGACCTTCTCACCATGTGCCCCTCTCCCGCTGTGCCCTGTCACCTGCAGAAGTCTATAGAACACCTCTCTATGACCTGAGAATCGACCAGAAGGGTATTCATCATCAATATACATTTTTTTTTGTCTGTGTGTGTTTTGTGCTTTAGGTATTTTAAGGGTCATGTGAGGGGGAGTACAGTTTAGATCCAGTATGTGTAGAATGTAGTGCATGTTTCATGCCAAAAACCAAATGAGAAAAACACATTTTTTCCAGTCATTCTTGATCATTGCACTTAAGGAAATAAAAAAATGTGTTATAGTCAACCTGAAGCAGTCTTGGGAGCTGATACGCTTTTAGTCATCCTCCAGGGAAAAGACAGTTCCCTGACTCTTAGGATAAAGGCTTTCTCCATGATGAGGTTTTGCTCAGCTACACACTTATCGGGCTCCCAATTTAAACGAGTGTGCAGCCCCAAAAATATTTAATCAGTAAACAAGATTATGATAACGTGCAGAAATCAAAGTGAAACTCACCTCTGTTCTTACAGTATATGCTGACCTCTGGAAAACTGGGTTGTTTGAGCGGATGAGTCTGCAGACAGATGAAGATGAGCACAGTATTGAAATGCACTTGCCTTACACTGCTAAAGCCATGGAGAGGTAATGCACACAGGAGTGACAGTCGTTAAGATAAAGAATTGACATCACACACTTCAGGATGAAGCTTTTTCTTAAAGGGCCCCTGTGGCGTTTTTCTTCTAAACAAACAAAAGTTTACTTTTAGTGTTATGCCCCAAAATGCATCGTGTGTATCCTCGATCTCTAACAAAGGTGTTGAATATACTTCCTTCCTCATAAAATACTTATGCTGTTTTTTATTAGTATATTTTACTTTTGTACCTAGTAGTCAGTAGTCAGTGTTTACTTGTGTTTTTGCTCGTCTTCGCTGGCACATTGCAGCATATTTTGGCATATTACTGCCACCTGTAGATGAGTGATGCAGTGTCACCATTGGCAGGAATGTGTATGTCTTCTCGCACATGCACATAAGAAACAAAACAGGGACACACTGATAGAAAAACCGCTCAGTGTCACTACTAGATGTCAGAAAACACAGGGAAGCTTTAACTATTCCTGACCAAACAAGTTTGTTTAGTTCTGTTCATTCTTTTCCTTAACAAAATGTCTATACGCTGTAAACCAGAATGACATTGATGCAGGCACACATGCAAAGTGAGATATGCATAATTGATACAGCCTTCTGTTCGGTTGGCAGGAGTTAAAGGCGTATTCTTGGTTCAGAAAAGCAGGGATCAGGTAGTATGAAGTGAACTGAGCATATTCGCTCAATGCATACCCTCCATACTAGTCTAACTAAAGCCTGTGGTGTTGTTATAAGGTATAAAGGTGCAACTCACCAGTGTGGGCTTATCATGCAGTAGGTTTTTCTCGTTAGTTTTCACTGATGGATGCTAAAAATAAAAAAGGTATTAATGCAGAAGTTATTTCCACTGTGGCAGTGAGCTGCTGTTATTTTACTCAAGTGTGTTCATTCAATAATCTGATGTTGCAGCCACAAAGACGAGTTTAGCATCGTCCCTGTGCTTGTTGGTGCCCTGAGTGAGTCTAAGGAACAGGAATATGGGAAGCTGCTCAGCAAGTACCTGGCAGACCCTTCCAACCTTTTCATTATCTCATCCGACTTCTGCCACTGGGGTAGGTACCGAAGAATAAAA